GGGCATTGTCGAAGGATCGAGCTCTGAGGAGGAAGTCGTCGAGGTAAAGGAAAATTATGATTCCTAGGTGGCGGAGGAAGTCCGCCACCATGGCAAGTGTCTTGGAGAAGACACTTGATGCGGATGAAAGGCCGAACGGGAGAATGCTGGTATGATGGTGGTGAGAGTAACCATCTTGACCTGCTTCCTGCGCACGTATTGGTTGAGACCACAGAGGTCCAGTATAGGCCTCCAACCACTGGATTTTTTCTGTGTTAGAAAATAACGAGAGTAATACCCTCTTCCGTGGAATCACATAGGCACCTTCTCTATTATATATAGGCACCTCTTGTTTGAGGAGAAGTTCGTGAGATGGGTCCCTGAAAAGGGACGGGGAGGAGGGAGGGTTAGTAGGAGGACGGGATGTGAAAGGGATTACGTAGCCCGTAGTGATGAGCTGCATGTCCGATATTATTGCAGCCCAGCAATGTTGAAAGGGTCGCAGGCGATGGTGAAAGAGAGTAGCATGAACGTTTGAAGCAGCAAGAATAGGAACGGTTTGCAAACCCTCTAGCAGCATGTCAAACCTGCTGTTTAGATTGTGGCTGAGTTATAGGTCTGGGAGCTTGTGGACGACGCCTTTGAGGATGTTGCTTAGGGCGTTGCTGCTCATACTGCCGTGGCTCTGCATAGGCAGGCGGTCTCTGATTCTGGTAGGGTGTATACTTTCTGCGGCGATATGGTGATACATGCCCAAGGTTCTCAAGGTGGTACGTGAGTCCTTGCCAGAATGGAGAAGTTGGTCTGTTTTCTCCGCAAACAAGCCTTGTGTGTCAAAAGGCAAGTCCTCAACCTTAGCTTGAAGTTCCCTGAGGACCGTCGCCATATGGAGCCACGAAGCCCTGCGCATAACGATGAAAGTCGCCGTTGTTCTGGCTGCTGCGTCCTCAGTATCAAAAGCTATGATCAGTGCCGAGTGGGAGGCCGTGTAACCCTCCTGGATGATGGCCTTAAGTAGGTGGTGTTTTGTGTCTGGAAGGTGTTCCAATAGTTAAGCCAACTTCACATAATTATTGAAGTTGTGATTAGCCAGCAATGTGGAGTAGCTGGCCATTCGGAGGATAGAAGTGGCTGAAGAATAGACTTTCCGCCCGAGCAGGTCGAGGCATTTATTATCTTTGTCCCCAGTCGTTGTCTTGTGCTGGGGGGGCTTTTGCGCATTGTTGCTCTGCGTCCATGACCAACGAGTTTGGTTGGGGATGAGTGAACAGATATTCCATCCTCGTGGCCGGGACGTAATATTTCTTGTCGGCCTTTTTATTTGTTGGTGGGGCAGTGGCCACCGTCTGCGTAGGCTACCTCGAATATAGCCTTGTCCAAAGGCAGTGCAACTTTGGAGGCATGGGAAGATGGGTGTAAATTATGCAGCAGATGGTGTTGCTTCTGTTGGACTTACATAAGTTTAACGTTCTGTGTGTCCGCTACCCGGCGAAAAAGGCCCTGGAACTCTTTGAGGTCATCAGAAGGTGAGGTGTCTCCGGTGAGGATGGCGTCATCCAGAGAAAAGGAGGCTACATCTGTTGGGGATTGTTGTGGTGCCTCCACTTCCAAGACATGTGGTGGTTAAGCGACAGGCTGTTGTGCAGGAGTTAGGTTGCCCGATGGAGTAAGCGGTCTAGCTTTTGCAGGAGTAGAGGATCTACTCCTGCCGTGAGTGAGCCGTGATGGAGCTGGTGATGGTGACAAACGGATCGACCGAGAATAACGGTGTCAGTGGTCGTGGTGTGAATGTCAGCGGTCATCATATCGAGGGTGGTATGAGCATGAATAGACATCCCTGTATCTGGAATCCCGAGAAAAGGACGGGGATCAAGGAACTGGCACATGAAATTGCAAGTCCATTAGCAAAAACTTTTAATGAATCTCTAAACTCAGGGGTTGTATCATTTGACTGGAGAATTGCTAATATAGTTCCTATTTTTAAAAAAGGGAAAAAAAGTGACCCGGGTAACTACAGGCCTGTTAGTTTGACATCTGTAGTATGCAAGGTCTTGGAAAAATTTTTGAAGGAGAAAGTAGTTAGGGACATTGAGGTTAATGGCAATTGGGACAATTTACAACATGGTTTTACAAAAGGTAGATCGTGCCAAACCAGCCTAATTTCATTCTTTGAGAAAGTAACAGATTTTTTTAGATAAAGGAAATGCAGTGGATCTAATCTCGATTTTAGTAAGGCATTTGATACAGTACCACATGGGGAATTATTGGTTAAATTGGAAAAGATGGGGATCAATATGAAAATTGAGAGGTGGATAAGGAACTGGTTAAAGGGGAGACTACAGCGAGTCATACTGAAAGGTGACCTGTCAGGTTGGAGAGAGATTACTAGCGGAGTTCTTCAGGGATCTGTTCTGAGACCATTGTTATTTAATATTTTTATTATTGACCTCAGCACTAAAAGTGGGAGTGTGCTAATAAAGTTTGCGGATGACACAAAGTTGGGAGGTATTGCCAATTCAGAAAAGGATCGGGATATCATACAGGAAGATCTGGATGATCTTGTAAATTGGAATACTAGTAAAAGGATGAAATTTAATAGTGAGAAGTGTAAGGTTTAAGGATTAATTTAGGGATTAATAACAAGAATTTTAGTTATAAGCTGGGGACACATCAGTTGGAAGTAACGGAAGAGGAGAAGAACCTTGAAGTCCTGGTTGATCACAGGATGACTATGAGCCGCCAATGTGATATGGCCGCGAAAAAGCTAATACGGTTTTGGGATGTATTAGGCGAGGTATTTACAGTAGACATAAGGAGGTGTTAGTGCTGTTATAAAGGCATTGGTAAGACCTCATTTGGAATACTGTGTGCTGTTCTGGTCTCCCATGTTTAAGAAGGATGAATTCAAACTGGAACAGGTACAAAGAAGGGCCACTAGGATGATTCGAGGAATGGAAAACCTGCCTTATGAATGGAGACTCAAGGAACTTGGCTTGTTTACCATAACCAAAAGAAAGCTATGGGGAGATATGATTGCTCTCTTTAAATATATTAGAGGGATAAATGCCAGGCAGGGAGAGGAATTATTTAAGCTCAATACCAATGTGGACACAAAACAAATGGATATAAGCTGGCTATTAGGAAGTTTAGACTTGAAATTAGGCGAAGGTTTCTAACCATCAGAGGAGTGAAGTTCTGGAACAGCCTTCCAAGGGAAGTAATGGGGGCAAAAGACCTATCTGGCTTCAAGATTAAGCTAGATGGGTTTATGAAGGGGATGGTTTGATGAGATAACATGATCTTGGCAATTAATTGACCTTTCACTATCAGTGGTAAATAGGCCAATGGTGGGAAGATAGGAGTTACTATAGAGAACTTTTTTCTGGGTGTCTGGTTGGTGAGTCTTGCCCACATGCTCAGAGTTCAGCTGATTGCCATATTTGGGGTCGGGAAGGAATTTTCTTCCAGGGCAGAGGGCCTCGAGGTTTTTCGCCTTCCTCTGTAGCATGGGGCATGGATCACTTGCAGGAGGATTCTCTGCATCTTGGGGTCTTTAAACCAGCATTTGAGGACTTCAATATATGAGATATAGATGAGTAGTGGGTGGGTGAGAGTCTGTGGCCTGCATTGGGCAGGGGGTCAGACTAGATGATCATAATGGTCCCTTCTGACCTTAAAGTCTATGAGTCCTAGACCTGCAATAAGAGTAGCAGGGGGATGGTGATCGGTAGTGCTTGTGATGATATCTAGGTGAGGGGGAGACACAGTGTCTCGATCGACGATAATGTCGAGATGGAGACGGCGGTTCTGGGGAAAAGGTCCTGGACTTAGTGGTCGTGGCCCGCTCATAGAGGAGGGAGAAGCCTGTAGCAGAGGTGTTGCGGGAGATGCACTTGGAGTAGAGATCCTCCGCGAATATGACGAGGTTGGCGAGTGCCTCAGTGGTGCCGGGGATCCTGGTGCCGCGTGTGGAAGATGTGGTTGTGTCATTTGTGCTGATACAGATGCACTGTCTGACAGTGAGGTCGGTGCATGGGTAGATCTCTAGTGCCACGCCGAGGATTCCTCCGGTGCTGGCATTGGTGCTGAGCTAGGCACCATGCGCACTGCTGAGGTCAGTGCCCTTGGAAGGACTGGTGCTGGAGGTGCTGAGGTTGGCAGAGGCAGCTTCAGTGCCGGGTCAGCTTAGGTGCCGAGGGCAGCTTCGGTCCCGAGGTCAACTTCGGCACCCCATGCACCATTGAGTTCAGTGCCGATATGCTTCACACCGGCTTGTCTCTTGCAGCTTTCAAGCTGCTGCTTTATGAGACGCGCCCGGATTGTCCCGTGGGCTCGCTCGCATAGATGGAAGTGAGCGCGACGGGGAGCGACTCCTTCGAGAGGTAGTCACAATGGGAGAAGATGGAGGTGATGTAGCTGGCTGTTCTTCAGTTTGTGGCCAGAGCACCTTATCAAATAGAAGCATTTTGAGGTGCATTTCGCGGTCGTGCCGCACTCTTGCTGTCAGCCTTGAACAGTGCTGACATTTCTGGGGAATATGGGCCTCCCCAAGGCACTTAATGCAAAAGGAGTGCCCGTCTGACGTGGGCATAGAGTCCCGACATGTCAGACACTTCTTGAAGCCCGGTGAACTGGGCATAGTTGGAGACGAAAATAACGTTAAAGGGTTTTTTTTAAATTAACAGTTACAACAACTAATTAACTAAGAACTAACTAACTATATACAACTGTCCTCTCTCTGAATCCTGACAGGATGGTCACGAGAGGGAGCTAGAACTCTGTCTGCACCCGAAGACGGTCAGAAGGAACTGGCGGAGCTGGACCGCGCGAGCAGAAACAGTGCGAAAAGTTGCAAGATGGCCGCTGCGCATGCGCAGTCCGGCGAACAACAGCTGAAACATCTCCAAACTGTGGCGACGGGACAGGCCCGACACCCACAGGGACACTACCCGAAGAAGAACATTTAATTCAAAACAATGAAAACAGTCATAGAAAAATCTCATATATTAGTAATAACTTACTATTCTTTTCATAACTCTCTGATTGCAGTTGGCTTGGAGGTCTACCAAGGATATTAACATTATTCCAATGTTCCAATGAATTTGAGTCAGAGGACTGCGCATAGTTAGACCTTCATACAAATCAGTAAAACAGGGTATCAATAAAGTTGCAAATTAAATATAATGTGATTCATAAAACAATCTTCAATGCTTATACTAATGAGATAATTTAATCTGAGCAGGTTATAAATTCTATTATACTTATACCAATAGTATAGTACCTCGGCAATGTTGGCAGCAAAGATTTGGGTGTAAAAACAAATTGTTTCAGATCCACATTTTGACTTTTATTTAACTGCATCTGCATCTAAAAAAGATCATTACAGATTTTAGTTTATTTTAATAGTTTGGATCATACCACTTGCACTTTGTGAGAAATAAGGAAACCACTGAAGGAATAAAGTTATTATAGTATTTTATAGCATTAAAACATGACATTACTCAATTTAGCCAGTAAGAGCTTGGAATAATGCACATTTCTCAGCAAGTCCAGACTGGTGGTTATCTGATCTGTTAACTACATTTCTTTCTGTTATCTATGGGGCCAAATCATCCTCTACTGCATAAAATCCTAGAGGGAGGGGGAACATTGCAAAATTCAAATGCCATATTCTCCCTGTAGGGAAGAGGTGTATGCAGGCCCAACCAGGAACCGAAGTGCTCTCAGTCTTGAAACATTGTGTAGGCAGAGAGTCTAAAATTAATGCATTCTTAAAACTTGCACTGGCAGTATAATTATTTCAGGATTCCAACATTATTGTACTTATAATTTCAGATAGTACTTCCCTGGGTGGCTACAGTGTGGAGGCTTTCAGCTATGCTGTCTACTCAACACATCATATTTTCTTAAACATTTGGGCTACGTCTACATTGGCCCCTTTTCCAGAGGGGGCATGGTAATTTTTGAAATCGCAATAGGGAAATGCGCGGGGGATTTAAATATCCCCCGCGGCATTTAAATAAAAATGTCCGCCGCTTTTTTCCGGCTTTTAGAAAAGCCGGAAAAGAGCGTCTACACTGGCCCCGATCCTCCGGAAAAAAAGCCCTTTTCCGGAGGATCTTATTCCTACTTTCTAAAAGCCGGAAAAAAGCGGCGGACATTTTTATTTAAATGCCGCGGGGGATATTTAAATCCCCCGCGCATTTCCCTATTGCGATTTCAAAAATTACCATGCCCCTTCCGGAAAAGGGGCCAATGTAGACGAGCCCATAGAGTCCAAATCAGGCTGTGTTCAGGGTGTCCACAGGCTCATGGGAAGCACAACACTTAGCAGCTACACGCTTCCAAGATTTCTGGTCCTTTCCTATCTTTTTTGTATTCCTTTGCTCACTTCCATACTTCACAGAAAATGCACATATTAGTCTCTGTGTATCTATATGTGATTGATATAATGCCGTGAACTTACAAATACATATATATTCAATAAATAATTATATTTTTTTCAGGAATGTGTGTTAAAACTAACCTTTAATCTTTTTACTGGGGGAACTGATGAAGTTGAGTTTCTGTTCCTTAAATCAGTTAGGTATGAAGAAAACTTTGAATCTCTCTTCAACTCAGATTTCTGTGAAACTCCAATTTTGCCTAAGATAAGGAATTGAAGATTCTTCAGATTAAATTTTAAGAGTAAAATACTGGACTATGTGAGTCAATGGGAATGTCAATGGAGCCAAGATTTTACATTAGGTATTTTACAAAAGACAATTTTTGATGCATTTGTTTTCATAAAAAATACGAACAATTTGATATTGCTATTAAATTATGTAAAAATTACTCGTATTCACTATAGAGTAATTATACTGAATTTATTTATTAATAATTTTTACTTTTTTAGATTGCATCATATTGACATGTTACGCATGATTCTCTTGCTCTGTGAGTCTGTACTCTTTTTACACCAATGTAACCATTAAATCAACAAAATTAATCGTAATTTACATTTGAGTAAATGAGGATATTATGTTCTTTGAATTAGATATTAGACATAATGAGATTTCCTGAAACTCACAGCAGTCATGTCCACATACATCTTTATTTTTACAGTGATGGCTGCATTCTCTGTTCCCAAGTTTCATGTAAGTGATCCCTCGATTACAGGTACCTCCTGAATAATAGAAGAAGAAGAAATCTGGAGGTTTTTTTATTTCACTGATATTGTTGAGGATTTCTCATGGAGAAGAAACAAAGCCATCCATGGCACTAGATTTTTGTTCACCCCCTAGAAATTTTGTGATTAAAAAGTCAGCTGCTACATGTTTACCAGAGTAACTTTCTCTCTGGGTTGCTATGACTGTTCATAGCAAAACAGTGTCTGTCCCCACTAAAGACTGTAAGCATCATTCTCAGCAGCCCTCTAAGCTCTGAAGTCATGAGGTACTAGAAGTCTAACTTCTCTCCCACATCAATTCCCTATGGAAACCTATTGCTCTATTCTGTTGAGTATAATTCGTTACCTGGAGCCTTTCTTGCTGCTGCTGCTGCTTTTGAAAAGGCATGATAAATGTCAGGTGAAGACTCAGCTTCTAATTTTCTTTGTAAAACCACTTCATTTCCAAACTTTTTTGGTCCTATGTAAAAGGCTGTATAGTTTTGCTGAATATCCACACCAACTTTTAGAAATGAAACACAAAAATGTTTATGTAAATTGAAAAATATATTCTTATATATTACCATTTACTGTACATCCAATTTTATAATGAGTAGTATGATACAGCATACAGGGCTATTAGAAGGCCACAAGTGGGACTGTGTCTTTGGAACTTTTGATCCAATTTTGCACAATTTTCCTTAGAACTGCACTGCATGCTGCTGTTGGAAAAAGGGTATGTCTACACTACAAAGTTAATTCGAACTAACAGCCTTTAGTTTGAATTAACTTTCATAGGCGCTACACAGGCAAATCGCTAGTTCGAACTTAATTCAAACTAGCGGAGCGCTTAATTCGAACTAGGTAAACCTCATTCTACGAGGACTAACGCCTAGTTCGAATTAAGTAGTTCAAATTAAGGGCTGTGTAGCCACTTAATTCGAACTAGTGGGAGGCTAGCCCTCCCCAGCTTGCCCTCGTGGCCACTCTGGGCACCACCAGGGAAACTTGTCTGCCTCCCTTCTGGCCCCGGGGCCCTTAAAGGGGTACGGTCTGGCTACGGTGCCTGTGCCAGGTGCAAGCCTGCCAGCACCCAGCCAGCAGTGCGGAGGTCATGCCACGTGCCCTGCACCTGGCACAGTACGAGCCAGCCACCCGCTGCCACCCAGCCCTCCGCCTCTTCCCAGGACCAGGCTGGCAGCTCCCAGGAGCCTGCCCGGGGCCGCAAGAGGCGGGCGCCCGCCTGGTCCAGTGCGGACATCATGGACCTCATCGAGGTTTGTGGGGAAGCCTCCAATGTCCACAACCTCCGAACTAGGCACAGGAAAGTGGCTGTCTAGGGCAGGATAGCTGCAAGCCTGGCCACCCAGGAGCAGGTTTGCATGAAAATCAAGGTGGTCCAGTGAGACCCCTGAACCATAGCCCTGAGCTTAGAACATAAAAACATAAGAACGGTCGTACTAGGTCAGACCAAAGGCCCATCTAGCCCAGTAGCCTGTCTGCTGACAGCGGCCAACACTAGGTACCCTGGAGGGGATGGACCGAAGACCAC